TGTGTGTGTGTATGAGAGTATATATTTATCCAGCACCAGCGCACCTCGAGCTGAGGGTAGTTAACGGTTTCACGTTCACCCGATTCCCGCCGAGTACGCGCGCTCCTATCGCGCCACCGACGACGCCGTTGTCGTCTCGGAGGAAATAGACCAGTGACTAATTCGGAGCCATCGCGGTTTGACTTGGCTACAGTGCTGTTTAACGGCGCAAGTCATCACGATCGTCGTCTTCGTAATTATAATATTACTATAGTCGTGTAACTCCACTCGCAGGTCACCACCGTTTCATACGGTTTCGTGTGCATTACATAAGTATACTATGAATATAATTTATATCATCGGAACTTTGTGGCGTGGATAGACCATCGTGTATATTATTGTATTTTTTAATTTTTAATTTTTTTGAGTATTAATCTAATTTCATTAATTCCTTCCTTTCGATACTGGTGTGCATCGACTGTATTAACTATATTGTGATCCTATAATATTTCATGATTGACCGTCATATCACAGATTAGCTGTCTTTTAAATAACTTAAGTGCCTGAGAATCGAATGCAATTGGTAAGTACCTAACCTAACCATAATTCCACAGAACTTTATATCTATTTTTAAGCAATACTATTATTTAAGTTCATAAATTGAGCCTATAATGTATTATAATTATAGAACACGAGATGTTTAGCATATTTATAGATGTTTTTCCCAACATMAAAATAATATAAATATAGGTAAATAAATATTCGAAATATTTCTTTTTTATTTTAAGATATTATAGAACTATAATTAATAGCAGATATTATCTGACTATGACGAATACCTAAATCACTAAAAAAAAATTAAATAAAAAAGTCCTGTAAAATATCATCGTTGTAGTCCCCTCTAAATTAAGCAGCTGTCGGGTATTAATAATTTAAGGGATATTCAAGCCACGAAGGCACGCGTGACCGTTTAATAAGTGGTGAAAAAATACGTGCGGGGTAACGCATAATATTTTAGATGGAAAAAAATTGACCTGTCTGGCAAGTGATAAGAAAAATCTGAGAAATGTTCAGAATTCTCAACTGATATTATTATATATAAACGTATTATAATATTTTATGGATGCTGTCGTGTTTGTTGATAAATTGTTTCATAACTTTTTAGTGTTTCGGTTTTATTGCGGTTAAACCGACGGTGACGCTACGTACCAACATAGCGGGTAGGTGATTTTAGAACCAGTGTTCGTTCTAACAAACAGGAAGTATAGTCGTTGATTTGATTCCTAGAATATTGTGTTATCCGGCGTTCTCGACAACACGGCAAGTTAGATTTTGGCTGTAGGCGATGGAATCTGTCATCGTAATATCTYTTATACACTACCCACGCAAATAATGCACAACTCCATCAATGAGTAGCTAGGGGTGTCATACATGGGAATTCTCCCGTGAGACGAGGGCGTTTAACAGATTGTTAATATTTTATTATTATTATTTTTTTTTTTATTCGTTCTATAATAAATAAGTACGTTTTTTTTTTTGGTTTATCACGTTAAATTTTTTTTTTAGTATTATTGTATCTCGTAAAAGTAGTTTATTTATAACATTTTCACTACCTACGTTTTTCAAATGTAAATATTTTGAAGGCGCGTTCAATTCACCTATACATATGGATAGGTATATGGCTGTATATTATAATACAGGTTCACAGATTTCCTTGATATTTGTTCAAAAAATTAATACAACATTTTTATTATTGTATTTCAATATAAATAACAATCTTTAGTAATCAGAACATTCATGCATGGCGTATATTCTATATATAAATATATGTATACAAATTATTGCTTGTATATTCCATATTATTGTACTCATTTGTCTCCAATATTAATYATTTTTACATTCAAGTTCTTCGTGATATAAAACAAACAATACAATGTACAAAAGTAAAGCTACAAAAGTTTAATTTCACGTCTGACAATTTCATAATTTACAACAAGTGTTATACTTCTAGAATTAAAATTATATTTCTGGTTATTATTACTCAGATTCAAAACTTTAAATTTCATTTTTAAAGAATAAAAACTTATAATTAAACATAATTAAATATTGTCAAGCATCATATCTGAACTTAAAGTCGAGTGTTGATATAATATATATATATATATATTTTTTTTTTTTTAATGTACCAAAAAAAGTGTTATAATACCTATCCAAGTAGTATTTATAAGTAACATTTCCACAAAGTGTGTGTACGCATACCACTAAAACTTTTTACAASTAATAAAACAAATGATAATATATTTATGGACTAAAAAATTCAAAATTAATGGCCATATTTTAACAACAAATTATTAAAAAGTAAACAGAAACCATCAGATAATGGTGTGAATCATCATAAACTTAAAAACAATGATAAATCATTAGCAGAGCTATGTTAAAATCACACTTGCTGAGATTTTTCCCTAGACAAGTATTGGTTATGTTCATTACAATAAGTCATGGCGAATTTGAAGCTAATGAAAAGACTGAAAACCATATCTGCAGAAAATAAGAGAACTAGCTATATTTTATTCATAATCGATATAATAGATACCTATGGGATCGTAAACATTTGAAAGAATTTTTTCTATCCTAATTTTGCCTAGTCATAGAGTTAAAATAATATAAGGAAAATATTAAATTAAAACTAGGATAAAAAAAAAAATCAGAACAACTCGTAGCAGTACAATAGGTACATAATGTTAAATAAGTATTATACAAAAAAATACATTTAGATTATATTATTCATGTAACAGGTACCATGTATTTATTAATAAAATAATATATATATATACTTACAACTATGTAATATTTAAACCATTATTTTCATAGCATTCTTTAATATCTGAAATACACAAATKATGTTCCACTTAAAGCCATGTTATTATAAAACTCAAATTTTAAAAATTGGTTTATTATGTTTTTTAATCATACAATAATACACAAGAAAGTTTTGAATTTTTRTACATGAAGCAGTATCAAAAGAATTAATTAATAAATTCGAATATCAAATTAAATTAATTAATGTTAATACAACGGTCATGCATGTTAAATGGGAATATATAATTTTTAAAGATTACAACCATGCCACACAATTTAAACAATTGTTACGAAATCAAAGTTTAATTTACTTTAATAGGTTGTCAGCACTTGACAGACAGTTGGGAATTCTTACTGAAAAGTGACAGCTACTTAAAGTAATTTCCTCATAAAATATTGTGATAAATGCCATATTTTCTTACTGTTACACGCGACGGATCTTCTAAAAACGAGTTAGTCAAAAAACTACTTTTAATATCGTATTTAGTAATTATTATACTTCTCGTAATAAAAAAATATATACCTATTTCATTTTGGATAAATAAGGTTACGGTTACGATTTTGAAAGATACAGTTAAATTATAAGGGACGACGTCATTTAAGATAAATCACAAAACGTTAAAATTGTGCTAYATAAGTAAGATATAAATAAAATATAAATAAAAAATACTGTCAAAAACATTTAAAGTTTTTTGCTCATTTAATTTGTAATGCAGAGTGGATACTAACTATTTYGATGTTAATTTTTGACAAAAGCTTCGACATAAATGTGATTTTTAAACCTATGTTAATACTACAGGTACTTGACAAAATTTMATTTCTCATGTGTAAATATTTTTGGAAGATATGTATGCTACTGAAGATAGTAAATAAATAGTATTCTATTATGGTTTATTTCAAAATAAACCCATATTCAGGAGTAAGGTTCTWAGATTAAATCGTACACCAGAATTATTGAGGGCTATTAGAAAATTGTGATTGACAATAAGAATCACAACCTATATAATATATTATCATAACCATTAAATGTTTACAATTTGGGGTAAATACGTAAAAATAACATAGGAATAAAAAAAAACCAACATCCTTCAGTTTCTTGAACTAAAATAACATACTATACATATATATATATATATATATATATTTTTTAATGACATGAGTTGGATTCTTTTGTAGAATATATAGTTGTGAAACCGCTGGTGGAATCCTAAGCGAACTGGTATGATCACATTYTGAATGAACGCTGGTGGAGAATAAGTAATGCCCTCCGGACAATAGGGCTTCAATATATATTGTATAATATGAGGTTTTTTTTTATTTTCTTTCGGAATCAAGTGTTCATCTAAAAGGAAAATAAGAAAACTAGCTAACAACGCTAATAACAAATATATATATATATACATAATATATACAGTAAAAGAAAACTGTGTTACCTACAAAATCATTAACACGCATTGGTAGTATCTAATATAACAATAGTACGTATATTATGATCATATTACTATTATATGCTTATCAAAATATCTACTGTATTTACAATTATGATGTATTTTAAAGTAGATTCTACATACGTATATTACATTTATTTTATGTAAGCGTATTATAAATCATTTATAAACAGACCAATTTTAACATATGTGTTTCTTGTTTGGACGGCAGCCTCGCCCACTAAAATTAAAAAAATTCAAACCCTCCAAATCAAATTCCACAGGATTTGCCTAAAAGCTCTTTGGTTTATGGGGAATCGTCGAATACACAACTATACTGGAATATACCTAATAAATATCTGGATTAAAACCTAACTTAAAAACTTTCACGACAAGTTGAAAGACTCGAACGAAAAAAAATCATCAAGGTAACAGTTTAATTTATTTATATAGTATGCTATTGAATTATATAAGCTCGTGTGTTAATATGTTGTATATTATACATATTCTTAAAGGCTATCTACCACTTAATAAATTTAAGTCCAATAGGTTAGGATTGATGATACGTAGTACTGACTGCTTCTAACCTACTAAGTCTATAGATTATTATTATTATTTTTTTTTTAATTGTTTAATTTAATTCGACCAGGAAGGTATTATTTAGTAATGCTCTATCATTTTCTCAGGACTTAGTAAAATCCAGTTTAGGTAGGTTCAATTTATATTATAGTTTGCAACTGTAATATAATATTACTCTCCGTTTTTGAACTTCGTGAGAACGTTAAATAAGGATCGAATCAAAACTATTTCCAGTCGAGTTTTAGAAGTTTGGTTACAACTTTTCGTGACGCCCGCAATTTAGTCATAGATTTTGTAGCCTATATACCCATAGAATAAAAAAAATTACAAATAGTTACCTGCTTAAATATGTTTAACCAAGTTTCTATGCTTATATTATTGTAACTTATTGTGAAAAAAAATTGTTTTTATAGGTTGAATGTGACAATATAATGTCAATTATTATGCAGTTCGTTACATGTATTTGATTTTAGTTTAATTTAAGTTCATATAACGTTCATTACCGTAGACGTTGTACGAATCAATTATCATGTACTAATATAATTTTACTTGCAGCTCTGTATGTTATATTAATAAGCGTTGTATATTGTATCACATTTGAAATAGGTCTCATTGAATTAACAAAATAATTCTCAGTAGAAGTAGAGTTCTTTTATCAGAAAAATGAAATATTATATGTTAAAGTGCCTACAATTAGCAATTTATGTTTAAATGGCCT